TGGGGGGGTGGCGGGGGGGGGGTAGGAATTTAACTAGAGATTGGATATTTGTTAATTTTGGTTTTACCACTTTGGTGAGTCACACCCAGTGGTGCTCATGGAAAGGCTCCTGGAAGTGCTCAGAAGACAGTGCAGTGCCAAAGATAGGACTCCCACATGCAGCCCTGTGAACTGCCTCTCTGAACCTAGAGAGTGGATCTCTGAATAAATTATACCCTATAACTTTAGTTATCTAGAAAAAAAATGTTCAGATAGCCAAGAGCTATCTGCACCAAAACTACTTTAGCAATTAAAGATACAATTTTCCAGGGCTGGAGCTATCAATAGCACAGCAGGTAGGTAGGGTGTTTGCCTTGCACGCGGCTGCCCTGGGTTCGATTCCCAGCATCCCAAGTTGGTTTTCACTTTTAGAATCAATGCCTAAAGTTTCCTTTATTCCTCATTTAATATAGCAAAGAGGCTCAGAAAGTCTCCTTACAGCTGTTTTACTTTTTTACCTCTTGAGATTTTTGGGCCATACCCGTCAGTCCTCAGGCTCTTTGCTCAGGAATCCTCCTGGGGTTGCTTGGAGTACAAAATATATGAGTTCAATAAAGTAACAAAATGGGAGACTAACACCCAGGAGTGGCCGAGATAGTACCAGGTATTTTGCTCCATGACTTGGAGGCCAGCCACACATGCTAGGGAAAAAGGAAGCTCAGATAGAGAAGGGAGCACCAAATAAAGGGTGTTGGGAGGATCCTCCCAGGATGGGAGAAGCATGCTGAAAGTAGACTATAGACCAAACATGATTGCCACTCAATGTGTCTCTTGCAAACCACAGAACCCAAAAGGAGAGAGAGAGAACAAAAGGGAATGTCCTGCCACAGAGGCAGGGCAGGATGGGGGGATGGGGAGTGGGAGGGATACTGGGACCTGTGGTGGTGGAGGATGGGCACTGGTGGAGGGATGGGTACTTGATCATTGTATAACTGAAACCCAAATACAAAAATTTGTAAGTCTATAACTGTACCTCATGGTGTTTCACTAATAAAAAATAAATAAATAAATAAAATATGAGTTCAGAGGTAATGTATACCAAAGCCATAATAGTCAACACTATTGAAAACATGTGACCCAAACTATAAATAAATTAAAATAAGACGTGATACTGTGCATTTATCACAGATTCTGTTATTTATTCTATCAGGAAACCTTGTCTTCTGTCCTCTGCTTACTAAAAAATGTTTGCCCTTATTTTCTCTTCAAGGCTGTGTTTTCCTCCAAACCCATGTCTCCCTTGTCTCGTCTCTTTGCTGGCTTTACATTTCCACTCTGGAGAAACCCACACTCTCTCTTGAACTCATACTTCCTCTATTTTTCCTCTATTTCTCTCCCCTCATTATCTTTCTAGCACTGTAGCACTGTATCTTTCTAAAGTTTTATTCAATAAAAACGAACTAGCTTCATGCACATACACACACACAAAAAATAAAACTATTCAGTATTACAGAGCAAGAAAAAGCAGTGGGAGGATAAGGTAAAACTTATTACAGTCCTAAACTGAATTTAAAAAGAAGGAAAAAAAAAAAAACAGAAAACCAGGGACCCAAGGAGCTCAGTGGCAGAAGTGCCTGCTTTGCAAACCACAAGTTCAACCCCCAGAGCCACAACATGTACTGTCACTGTCACTGTCCTCCCGTTGTTCATCGATTTGCTCGAGCGGGCCCAGTAACATCTCCATCGTGAGACTTGTTACTGTGTTTGGCATATTGAATACATCACGGGTAGCTTGCCAGGCTTTGCCGTGCGGGCGAGATACTCTCAGTAGCTTGCCAGGCTCTCCGAGAGGGGCGGAGGAATCGAACTCGGGTCGGCCATGTTGGCTGCATGCAAGGCAAACGCCCAACCTGCTGTGCTATCGCTCCAGCCCAACATGTACTGACAGCTCCGCAATGTGGGACCCCACACTGCTACAGACTGTGCCTCTCCAGGGCACCAGAGCCAGCTGTGTACAGGCACAAGGTGTGCAGCATAAATCAGAGTGCACCCCGGTCAGGAATTGCAGTTCAGTAAGCAGCAACCAGAGTGAGTGAAAGCACCATACCTGATCAAGTACAACCTCCACTGAGCACATGTGCAAGCTCGGATATCAGAGGTACAACCCTAAGCAGGTACCACACCGATTGCAATAAAAGGGAAGGAAAACTGAAAACTGGAAAAAATAAGCAAAAAGTATGAAAGTAATGATGAACAAAAATAGCTGAATATTAAACACACTTTACCTTAGCAATCTTTTTCAATGAGGTCCCCAGAGAAAAATGATACCCCAAACTCAAGGTATTCACTGTATATCATAAATTCATTTTTCATCTCTACAACTAGAGTCTGCCAGCTAGAAACTAATCTATAGAAATTTGAAAAAAAATCATTAAAAAAAGATATACTTCAAGTTTAAATTCTCTCTCACCGAACTCAGGAAGGGACCAACACAGTACTAGGGCACGTTTAACACTTAATACCAGGTAATACTAACATGAAGCTACTGTGACTTTCTGTGCTTTTTCATTCTAAGAAAATGTTTAGACACTTATCTATCAAAAACACCTTATTAAAAGTTTTCTATAAGGCCAGGGAGAAAGCTCAAAGAGGCACAATTCCAGGTACAAGTCCCACAGGTTCTCTGAGCATCATATCAGGAATTAGGGGAGAGTCTCCCACTGGCCCACTCAACACCCTCCCTGTCAAAAAAAATCGAAGTTCATTGTACTCTTAAGACTTGGGTTCGGGGCCAGAGCAACAGCACAGTGGGTAGGGCGTTTGCCTTGCATGCAGCTGACCCGGGTTCGATCCCTGGCATCCCATATGGTCCCCTCTGCACTGCCAGGTGTAATTCCCGAGTGCAAAGCCAGGAGTAACCCCTGAGCATTGTTGGGTGTGACCCAAAAGGGAAAAAAAAAAAAAGATTTGGGTTGGTTTTAAGGCCTAAAGTCCTTTACAAAAATGCTTAATTTACAGGTGGAAGTTTTCTTAAACTATATAAAGTATGTATAGTTTGGGGTCTCCTGTCCAATAAAGCATATCCTTAAAAAATATTTCGTGAGAGTCTTTGGAATAAACTAGAAATAATTTTAGCACACCCAGGACATACAGACACATGCTTACTCTGTGTGCCAATATAACATTACATTAACAAAACACAAAGAATTGAGTAATGTAAGTCAATGTCTACTGAAAAGTTATTCACATCCCCACAGGGCTGTAGCCAAGAAGGCAGATTTCAAGTGTAACTAGCTGATAGCAGAAAGCTGTTCAGAGCACATAAAAACGTATCCTTTGTATTTCAGCCACACTAACATCAGAATAAAACCAAGGCTACCTCTTTTAAGTGCCAAATAAAAACTAAACAAGTACACACACAATGGCGAAAATGTGAAATGCTAAAGACAATGGTTACACCATTTCCAAGGAGTGTGTTTTGCTTTCTGAAAGAACAAAAATAGGGTTGAAGAGATAATAACTGGGGTAAGGTGCTTGCCTTGAACGCGGCTGGCTCAAGTTCAATTCCCAGTACCAGGCAAGGTCCTCAAGCCCTGCCAGGAGTAGGCCCTGGGTGTGGCCCAAAATAAATAAATAAATAAATAACAGAAATATAGTTGCGCCAAAAATAAATTGGGAAGGGCATAAGACCAATCCCCCTCCTCCCCAAAAAAATAAGATTTAATAATTTTTAATATATACACATCCAACTTAATAATCTAAGTAAGTTGAGTGTTGCTTCTCAAAGTGAGAATTCCAAACTTTCCGATAATAGCGGGCTATGAAAACACTACGGCACGTGCCAAACTGTAGCCTGCAGACTTCTGGAGAGGAAGGAAAAAAAAAAAAAACCCTCGTAAAAGTTACTGTAAATGAACTTTTACAAATTTATTTCCAAAAAGTGCTTTCTTCGTATACCCTTCCTCATATACACAATCTCATTAGGTAAGTTAAAACTTAGAAGAGTCAAATATCCTGTTGTTGTCAAATACGAGGCAACCAATGCTGGAACAGTTCATGAAGTGTTAGGTAAAAGCCTGTAACTTTCCAGCACAGGGCCCAAGTGGCTACTCGCCCAGCAGCTAGGGGCACTGGCCACGCATGCATGCACGCACGCATGCATGCACGCACACGCGATCGACCCGGGGCGGGATTCCTGGCACCTCCTGAGCATCTCCAGGAGTAATGATTCCTGAGTAGAGGTAGCAATAACCCCCACCCCGCCCCCAGCCTCGCCGGGTATGGCCCCCAAAGCAAAACAACACACACACACACACCCTTGCAAGCACTTAAATCTCCGCCAAAGCAAAACAACACACACACCCCTTTCAATCACTTAAATCTCACACACACAGATACACACACCTTGCAAGCACCTAAATCTCCCCCAAAGCGAAACAACACACACACACACACACACACACACACACACACACACACCCCTTGCAAGCACTTAAATCTTCCCCCAAAGCAAAACAACACATACACACCTCTTTCAAGCACTAAATCTCTCAAGTGTGATGGGATAGAGCACCAGAATGGGCAATGTTAGCAACGTTTGGGGGAAGAAAGGAAAAAAAAAAGGGGGGGGGGGACCCCGAAAGACCGTCCCCGCACCGCTGCTGCAGAGTTTTGAAACTTGCTTTTCCCTCCGAAAAGTGCGGTCCTCCGTCTGTCCGTCCGTCCGTCCATCCGTCCTCGCCTTCTCCCCGCTCGCCCCCCGCCCCGACCCCAAGGTCAAAGGCCTCCAGACAAAAGACAACAAAGGCACGTGACACAACTTTCTCCCCACTTTCTCCGGAGGCCTAGCGGCTCGCGCGTCGGCCCGCCCACCCGCCCTCCCCCCACGGCCCGGTCCTCGGCGCGGGGGAGGGCGCTCGGGGACGGGAGGGGGGCGCGCGGCCCGTGTCTCCCTCCTCGCCCCCCGCCCCCCGCGCGCGCGCGCGCGGCCGAGGCGCGGGGCCCCGACGGCGGCCTGTTACCTTTTCCTGCTCCTCGCGGAGCCGCGCCACCTCCGAGGCGCGCAGCGGCGCCGCGCTCGCGGCCGACACCGGGGCCCCGCCGTCAGGCGGAGCCTCCATGACGGGGGCCGCCGGGGCGTCCACGGGGCGAACGAGTCCTAAACCAATGTTTATAGAGGCGGCGTGGCCGGCAGCTGCCCAGCGCCCGCGTGCTCGCCCTCATGCGCCGGGCGCCCCGCGCCGAGCAGGCCGCGCCCGCCTTTCCCGCTGCCTCGGCGGCCGCTGCTCGCGTCCCGACTGCCCGCGGCCGCATCTCACACGCGCATGCCGCCGCCGCCGCGGACCCGCAGCCGCAGGCCGGTCGCCAAGCGCCGCCGCCGCCGCCGCCGCCGCCGCTCCGGTGTCCGGTGTGGCCGGGCCCAGTCAGGCGTCCCGCGGCGGCCGCGCCTCCTCAGAGCCTCCCCCGCAGGCTCCGCCCCCTCGCCCCGCCCCGCGCGGCACGCCGGGAAGCCTTCGCGCAGCCCCGCCCCCTGAGGGTCACGTGGTGCGAGCGCGCTGGTGGAAGCCGGAGTCCTTCCCCCGCCCCCCCCTCTGGAGGCTTTCATTCTACTAAGCATCCTCCGACCTACTTTGGGTACTCCTGGCGGCCCGCGCTGTCTTCAGCTTTGTTGCTCCCCCCCCCCCACACACACACACAGCACACACACACTTCCCTCACTCCCCGTCGTTTTATACTGCCCGTGGAGATCAGAGTTGAGTGCATGCATTGAAGATGCTGCTTTTTTTTTTTTCTGAACTTTTTTCTGGAATCACTGAGATAGACCATTTACAAAGAGGCTTCCTAGGGCACAGTTAGTTTTAGTAAATTCAACTCTTTTGAATTAACTCTAATGAATTAAGACGCGCCGTTATTTTTCATTGTGTGTTCATTAAATGCACACATTACCATTTTTCCTTTATTTAATGCTGAGTGCTTAATTTATTTCTGTGCAGGAACTATTTTCAGAGATTTTTTTTTTCAGAGTGACTTTCTACCATGTTTCTCCTATTTCATATCTCCTGTGCTCTTTATTTTGCAGAAAGTTGTACTCAGAAGTTACCCGATTAATGCTTACTGACGTCAATAGGCCTTGTTTAATCCCTAACCGTAAGGATGGGCTCTATTCCTTCAGTGTTGCGCTAGTGGGTGGGGGTGGGAGAGAAGCTGGGACCACCTGTAGTTCCCAGGTAAGGCAAGTATGTCTGCTTATTTTATTTCTCTTCCCTCTCTTCTGGTGGAATACACCTTTTCTTCTTCTCTTCAAAGAAATTAAACAGGAAAATACAGAAATGTTAATTTCTGTTTTCCTCACTCCTTGTTAGTGTCTCTGAAATAAGCAGAATCTAATTGCTCTGACTGTCTCTCTCTAGCGCCATCATTTTTCTGTTCTCTGATCTCACTGCTTCTGCTCTTATGCATCTACCACTCCTAATTCAGATGGTCAGCTCTAACCTATATAGGTCCTGTGCCTTCAGAACCTGACCATCCCCATCTCAGTCAAATGATATTACAGTTTCCTTGTAAGTATTCAGGAAGAGACAGATGACACACCATAAGCAGGTTTCCTGGAGGCTTCTGGGCTTGGGTTTGTTTGGGGTTGGTTGGGTTTTTGTTTGTTTATTTGTTGTCATTTTTTTTATTTTGCTTTTCAGTTTGGGGGAATACACCCCGTGGTGCTCAGTGTTTGCTCCAGGCAGTATTAGGGGTGCCATCCAGTTCTAGGGATCAAATTTGACTTCCCCATGTGGTTGAGCTCTCTGTGGTTGACTCTTCCTAAAAGTCTCAGAAAAAAATTCTTCCTCAATTTTTGAGTGTTTCTGTAACAACAACAACAGAAAAAATCTATCTATCCCTTAGCAAGAAATTATAAAGTGTGTATTCTTATGCTACAAGCAGATATAGGAAGACTACCTAGACTCATCCTAAACTCAGAAGGAGGTTGATTCTGTGACCAGCAGAGCCAAGATATCAAGATCTTGATTTAGGCTCAATCAGCCAACTTAAGGATATATCATTGCCTGGCTTCCAATTAAAGATACCATTAAATTTCCTAATGCCAATTGCACTACATTTTCCATCACTAGTACACACTGATTTACACATATCCCTAATCTAATCTCAGAGTTCAGCAGCTAGAATGAGCTCTTAAAAAATTTTTTTTAAAAAAGTGATCAGGGCTGGAGCAATAGTACAGGGTACCTGGTATGCAGCAGACCCAGGTCAGTCTCTGACACTATATCAGGTCCCCTGAGTACCACCTGGAGTGATCTCTGAACACAGGAATAAGACCTGAGCACCAAAAGGTATAACCGAAAATTCCCACCTCAAAATAATAAAACAATGAAAAGGGAACCAGAGAGATAGTACAAAAGCTAAGTCTCCTGCTTTGCATGCTGCAGACCTCATCAATGTGGTCCACTGAGGTTCAAAAATCCCTGCATCATTATGGTCCCAAAAGCATCTCTTGGAATCACTGTTGAACACAGAGCCAGGAAAAAACCCTGATCAGTCTGGGTGTGGACCAAAAAAATGAAAGAAAAATAAACAGCAAAGAAACAGAGTGCACTGGAAAGTTAGGTTTCCCATGTTATTGAAAATTTTGTTGCAAGTGGTTAAAAGACCTGAGTCAGGGGTTCAGAGCTATTGTATAGCAAGAAGGGCATTTGCCTTATACATGGCTGACCCAGGTTCGAACCCAAGCATCCCATAGGGTCTGCCAAACACCACTAGGAGTGATTGCTGAGCATAGAGCAGAAGTAACCCCTGAAAATTGTCAAGTGTGGCCAAAATCTAAAACAAACAAACAAAACACCTAAGTGAGACTGCTCAAAGGGCTAAAGCATGTGCCCAACATGCTCAAGGCCCCGAATTGATCCCCCCATCCCCCTGTACCTAATGAATGATCCACTCAGCACCACCAGGGTATTCTTTGGTGGCTCCTAGCACAGCTGCAGCTGGACTAAATATCCTTAGGAATGGCCTCCAGTCCCCAGAGCCCTGCTTGAAAGACCTAAATCACTGATAGGACTGACCTACCTCCTTCTGTTCTCCCCTACTCATTTTTTTTGAGTACTCAGTAACTTTTTAATAATCCCTTCATCCAATTTTCTGTCTGGATTCTCATTCGGTGGGGCTGGGGTTGAAGGATGAGATTATCTTTCCACTCTGAAGACTGTAAACTAAAACCCCAAAAGTTGGTGGCAGAAACAGACCTGTCTTTACCCTCACAGGCTTCCTTTGTCCATTTCTAATGTTTGTATTTGGTTTTTCTAGCCCACGCCTTCTTTAGGAACTAAACCAATTAAAAATAAACAACCTAGAGGTTCTTTATTAGAAGATAAAGAAGGGGAATTATTTGAAAATTGGGCTAATGAAATCTCTACAGTTTTTGCTCTGTTTGGGGGTTGGAAAGATAGTACAGTGGGTAAGATGTTTTCCTTTGCATGCAGCCAAGCTGGTTCAAATCCTCAGACTTGGGGACTGGAGCAATAGCACAGTGGGTAGGGTGTTTGCCTTGCACGCAGCCGACCCAGGTTCGATTCCCAGCATCCCGTATGGTCCCCTGAGCACCGCTAGGAGTGATTCCTGAGTGCAGAGCCAGGAGTAACCCCCATGCATTGCCGGGTGTGACCCAAAAAGCAAAAATAAATAAATAAATAAATGAATTCTCAGACTCTGTATCGTCCAGTTATAGTATGACAGGTAGTGGGTCAGGGATGGAGAAAGCCTGGAAATATACTTTAGGGGCATAATAAGATTTAAGAGGATATTCCCTGCCCAGGAGCATGAAGACCACATCCCTTTGAGATACAAATCCTGAGTTCTTTGAAGAGGAGAAGCTGAAGCACCCTAGAGGCAGGAATCCAAGGCCCCACTTGGAGAAGAGTGGATCCCTCAGGAAAGGAGAAGCTGCAGAGAAATCTAGGAGATTCTGAAGATTATCAACAGTGCAAGGGACAAGACTATGTGAAGACCAGCAATAGTGCCAGGCTTGTGACAACGCCCAGATTGTTATGCATGCAAAACTCAAAATTGGAATAACTATCTAAAAAATCCTCCAAAGTCATTTCTTTTTCCTTGAACATCATATCTCACGTCTTGTCTTCATGTTTCTTTACTTTTTTTATTTCCACTCTAAAGAAGCCTCACTCAAACTCACGCTTCTCTCTTTCTCTCCCCTCATAGCATTCTAAATAAATTTCAATAAAACCTATTTTGCTTCACTATTTCACCTTCTCCTGAAATCCTTTTCTGTGAGGGAAAGGAGAAGGACCCAGAATGCCTGTGCTGCGTTTGGGCCTGACCGGCTCTAGGCAAACACTTCCCCCAAGAACTGATGGCCGAGGTGGGTCCTACAGAGATATTGAAATAATTTTTTTCTCAGTCAACATCCTTCACTCCCCACTTTGCTGAGCCACCAGCAACAGATACAGGTGCCCCAGCCCCACCAGGAATGATCCCTGAGCACAGAGCTAAGAATAAGCTCTGGGGACCACTAGATGTGAACCACCCCCAAGAAAAATTGTTTGTTATTTCTACTATTACAAAACCTGTTGCGATTTTGTAATCTTGAGATTTTAATAGGTGCAAATGAAACCAAAGTTTTGAGGCAACTAGCAATGGTTATGTTTGTTAGCAAGAAAAATAGCTTAAGAGAGAGAGAGAACAAAAGGGAATGCCCTGCCACAAAGGCAGGGAGGGATGGGGGAATGGGGGGTGGGAGGGATACTGGGATTAGTGGTGGTGGAGAATGGGCTCTGGTGGAGGGATGGGTACTTGATCATTGTATAACTGAAACCCAAGCACAAAAATTTGTAAATCTACAATTGTACCTCATGGTGTTTCACTAATAAAAAATTTTTAAAAATAGCTTAAGATTGAGGGGGCCATGAGAACAGATGACTGGTTAAAGAAACTTTGGTACATCTACACAAAAAAATACTATGCAACTGTTAGAAAAGATGAAGTCATGAAATTGGCATATAAGTGGACCAACATGGAGAGTATCATGCTAAGTGAAATAAGTCAGAGAGAAAAGGACAGACATAGAATGACTGCACTCATTTTGTGGACTATAAAGTAACATAATGGGAGACTAACACCCAAGGATAATAGAGATAAGGGCCAGGAGGATCGCTCCACGGCTTGGAAACCGGCCTCACATGCTGGGGGGGAAAGGCAGCTGAAATAGAGAAGGGACCACCAAGTAAATGATGCTTAGAGGGCTCACTCCAGATGGGAGATGTGTTCTAAAAGTAGACTATGGACCAAACATGATGGCCACTTAGTACCCATATTGTAAACCATAATACCCAAAAGGAGAGGGAGAGTAAAAGGGACTGTGCCTGCCACGGGGGGGCGGGGGGGGGGTG